AAAACAATTAAGTATTTTGAATACTCATTTATCTAGCATTTTGTGAAAATTTTGCTTTAATTTCAGAAGTATCGAATATGCGATAAAATTGTGATTTGAAAGGCTTTTGCTTCAGTAAAGTATCGTATTATTACCAAGAAAAGTAGTGATAATTTCATAACAAGATTATGTGAAGATTGTTATTGGAATAATCAATGTTGTATTGTTATAATCATGAAAATGATATTTGCAGAATACATTGTAATGTAGATAATATTGTTATTGATTCGAGACCAGTTTAGTTCGACATTTTTGACTTTTGCCTGTAGTGGGATCCATGAAAATATAAAAAACTTCAGAACTCTGACCACCAAGTGTTGGATTGTTACTACAGAAAAAAATCAAAATGAAATATGTAGTCCCCTTTTGTATTTATACATTCATTATCAGTAAAAAGGTGTTTCATTATGCGGTGAAACAGAAAAACACGTTTTGTAGATGCTGAGTACCTTTAGTAGTTAAGGGCTGTTCACGTTGTTATATAATACATATAATAAGTCTTAGTAATCCGACTTTATTGTTGGTAGTTGTAAACAACCTGCAACGTTATTTTAAAAAGAAGGACTTAATAAAAATATTACAGTTTAGGAATGCGTTTTCATTTGGATACCCATTCATCAAATACATGCTCAATTTCCACGTACCTACAATACAGGTAAGAGATTATGATAGTTTGGGTAATGTTACTTCAAGTTTAATAATGAGGAATCGTTCTCCTGATCATTTAGTAATGCCTATATTGGCCTTTTTGTCCTTATAAATTTGGATGGTTTCCAAATAATTAAGTTCTAACATTTATATAGAAGTTGTTCTCGAATTCATCCCCAGGGAAATTAGACCAAAAAAAGGGCCATCTGCGGAATGAGGTCGAACAAGCTGAATTTTTGCAGAGACTTTCGTTTTGATGTTCTTATGGAGCACAAAAAAATCGAATATGCCTACCCTTGTGCGTCTTGAGATATCGAAGGTCAAAGGTCACGAAAATCGTTTTTTTTTTTTGCGAAAATCTCGCTTCCAGTGCATCTGACATCGAAGAACTCGAAACAAAACTTAAGTAAAATAGTATTTTCTACAAAATTGTTCCGATACATTTTTTTGTACGACCAACCGTTTTCGAATATAGCGTGATAAAGCGGGAGTGCGCATTCAAAATAGGTGATACTGTATTATACAGGGCGTAACCGTTCAACTGATCAAAAATGCTAGGGTATATAGAGGAACCATAGAGAAGTAATTTGAGATAGGACACCGATGGTCGGAAGTGCGTCGTTTTCAAAATACAGGGTGTTGAAATTTAAACAACCCCCTTTCATAAAATAAAAAATAAAATTTGAAAAAAAAAGCAATTTGTTTCAAATTTAATTTTTTTTTGGGGCGGTTCCAGCTAGAAAATGGGGGGGGGTGATTTTTCGAATTTTTGAATATCATTCCTACATCAATAATCCCTGAAAATTTGAACAGAGCATTAGCCCTCCAGATGATATGAAAGGGGGTTGTTTAAATTTCAACACCCTGTATTTTGGAAAAGACGCCTCTCCGACTATCGGTGTCCTATCTTAAATTACTTCTCTATGGTTCCTCTATATACCCTAGCATTTTTGACCAGTTGAACGGGGACACCCTGTATAATACAGTATCAACTATTTTGAATGCACGCTTCCGCTTTATCACGCTATATTTCGAAAACGGTTGGTCGTACAAAAAAATGTATATGAATAATTTTTCAGAAAATACTACTTAACGTAAGTTTTAGTTTAGGTTCTTCGACGTCAGATACACTGGAAGCGAGATTTTCGCAAAAAACTGATTTTCGTGACCTTTGACTTTCGATATCTCAACACGCACAAGGGTAGGCATATTCGATTCTTTTTGTGCTTCATAAGAACATCAAAATGAAGGTCTCTGCAAAAATTCAGCTTGTTCGGCCTCATTCCGCAGAGGAAGTCCAATTTCCCTGGGGTATAATTGAGATGAAATAAAAAATAAGAATCGTTCTTATTCTCAATCAAACTTCATTGGTGTTCTTTTATTCTCGTCTCGAATTTCCTTCCAGTTCGGCCAATAACTAACCACTTATTAATATGGGTTTTTGAAAATAATCGGGCCTATCAGGTATCATTTTCTGATATTTTAACAAGTTATCTGTCTTTGTTTATTCTATAGGTACATCAAAATACAAACAAGTATAGCTGTTGAGCTATACATAACCGGAGAGGATACATCATAGGCCAGCAGAATATAACTTTAGTTCTAGATATTACCTAATTATTGTGATGAATTGTCGAACAAGGTTAATCAAAGACGGTGCTTTAAAAAAAATATATATATTTTATTCTTATTTATGTGTATTCATTATGATATTGTTACGGAATCGCGTCGAGAGCCCGACTTGATTCTAGGATTTAGTTGTTTAAGTCTGACCTCGCCTTTTCTGGGAATTCTAATAAATTCGATGAACACAATTTTCTAGATAGATCCGGAGTACGATGTTGACTATAAATAGCGCACGCACATATACATACAGTTTGAGTTTAGTTGATATACGATATTTTTGTGTGCTTACGTTTCGATAAGTGATAAGTAAATCTTTATGAAGTCAATTTGTTCAATGGAAATTGTTACTGTTTTGTGAAGTGGACCCGAAATCCGTGACAATTTGGTGCCTGAAGTGAGATTATTACCAACACAAAATTGATGCATAAATTTCAGCTAATTATTTGGATCACATAGCAAGACCATTAATGGTGCATTAACTTAATTTGAATAGTGGAATAATTGGCAAGACAACTACTCGACTAGATAATAACTGGAATAATTAGCCGAACAATTGGTGTATTAATTTGAATTAATCAGTGGATCTAATCAGTGAACTTTTGTTGAACGGAAATAGCGACTTTTTTACCGGATTTGAAATTGGAAACAAATTCACAAACGAATTTTCTATAGAATTCCATTTGGAAACTGTGAGTGATACAAGAATAGTGACCTGAAGAACTCTATTTGGAAACCACGGATATAGGTATTTGTACTGATTTCGACATCAAAAAATAAGTCCAAAGTGATTTTCCTATAGACCATTCCATCGTGTACTATTTGGAAATTTGACTCCGCCACAGAACTGTAGATTTAAAATCAAGTCCCAAGAAGGATTCAGAATATTATATGGTAAATACAAGACAGCAAACAGGCGAAATGGAGCAAGTTAGTCAAATGTAAGTGGACTTTATGAAAAATATATAAGAAAAGAGATAAGAACAGGAGGGAGGACCGGAGACAGAAAAAGAAGCCTGAAGATAAAAAGAAAAACAGGAACACGACTGACTGGCAGCAATTTTACAAAAAGTATCAGACCGTAGAGAGAAAGAACATGAATTATTATTATGGTCCTTTACTTTAGCGAATCGCACCTAACGTAGCTTTGTGTCTGTCAGGTAGCTACCCTGCGCCCCATAGAAGAGGCACTATGTACCATAGGGCCATCCTTTGGTAATTACCAATTATTATTAATTACCTTTAATCTAAACAATATACTTTAAACTAAGTACTCGCTTAGTACTTATAAATTCAAGAATGCAAAGGAAGAAGACCGTGAACAAGTACGTGAAGAAGTTGAGAGTGTTCGTCAGGAAAGTGGAACTGTCCCACAGGAATTCAGTACTGTTCGTTGAGAAGTTGGGATGTTCCGCCAAGAAATTGAGAAGTAGCAATTTAACTCTTGAGATCAGGATATGTCTCGGCTTCGCCTGCAACCGGTATCAAAATTGAGCCACCACCAAACGGAGGTCAGACATCATGGAAGATGTACAGACGTCGGTTCGAAACTGTTGCAATCGATAATGGTTGTAGCTCCTATTAGTACTCTTTCGCCTGCTTCCCAACAAACCTGGTGCGCTTGTCGATACGTTAGAGCATCCTTATGGGGATCAACATCGAAGGCAGCTCATCAGTTTTAGAAGAGCAATACAACAAAAAGCCGCGGAAAACTTCCAGGAATTTGGAACCGATGTCTGATTAATTTGGCCTACCCGGAATAACCAGCAAAAATGCGGGAACAACTAGCGGTCAATAACTTCATAAATGGAATTGAAGATAGGGCCGTACAGAGAATGCGGCGCATAACCATATGAGATATCCGAACCAAAGAGCTCCGAAAATTCCAGGGCAAAAAGAGCCGATAGGAGAAATAAAAGACACCATAATAAAGAAACTTCTGGAAGAATTACGAATGTTAATATGTTTTTACCAGAAGCAATCAAGGGAACTGGATAGGGGGATAACATACAATTATCGTTGATGAAGGAGAGGACATTTGAAACCTGACTGTAGAGTACGGCTAAGTTTTCTGTTTTGTATTCGACAACCAGCACAACATCCTGAAGAGTTTGTACTGTCCAACCCTAATCACATAGTCCGTCATCGTAAAAGCCGCGTTTGTGTGGCAACACAGCCGAAGAAATTATAAATGTGATCAGCTAGAGAATGATTCTGGGAGCACCAACCTTACAATAAATACCTCGCCAGCGCCATAGATATCTTTCAACTAAAAAAAAAATCCTTTGCGCAAATTTTGAGGACAATTGGTGGAATGCCGTCGGGAATATGTTCCCAATAATTTTGGGTCGAAATACAATGTTGTCCATGTAAGAACCAATGTGTAGCAGTACCTGTGGGCGTGGCGCTCTGCCATTACCCTCCATCGTGAAATTGGATAGAAATTGTGGCTGCTTTTTCCTTTGACAACTCTACAATGGCAATTTTCTCTACGAGCAACGCAAATAAATCTTTTTCCACCTAATTCGAGGAATCTTGCTTGTGTTAAAATAGTGTTTTCTGTTTTAAGCGCGGCCATAATAAAATGAGTAAATATCAAAAGATAATGAAGTCAGAGAAAACCAACTAGCCCATTTCCTGTGTCATTAGTTTGTCCAATACTGAGCTGAAAGAGTTTACTAGGGCTAGATTGGTAAACAGGTCACACCTAAACTAACCCAAACGTGAGAACCACTTTTTACTCTCCCCCCCCCCCCTTCGTCCTTCTTTGTTTGGCTCATGCCATAGACGTAAGGACTTTTAGTATGTTCAGTCCCTAAGCACCCTGAACACTTTCCACTTTTTTTTTGGCCATTCTTGCACTGAAGAAGGCATCAAAAATTAAAAAAAATAATAAAATAATATTGCCAAAACTTTCACGTGCCAGATTTATTGAAACTACAAAATAATACCTCCCATTGTAGGCAAATTTATTTTTCACACTGTTACATCAAGATCTTTAGAAAATAGATATTAAAATTAGTAAACATCTAATAAAAAGTATTGTTATAAAAATAAAATGTTAACAATAATTAGATATAAATTATCGAGATAACAACCAGCATGAAGCTTCTCGTTGTAGAATATGCAAAAATACAATCTAAGCACAGTAAAATATGATAATTTTAATAATTAATATTAAATACGCACATCAAAATAGTCTAGGGAACAAGATGCAACTGAATACATTTATAAATTGAACAAAATATACTTTTGAAAGATTTTTAAATTTTGTTAAAGCCTGCTGAAAAAGCCGATGTGATAAATTTTACAAGATTTGTTCAACAAATACCCATATGGTATCTTTTTGAAAAAAGTTATTCTGTCTAAAAATTAAAAGACGAATATTTCTTGTTCCCTAGACTTTTTTGATGAGTGTAGAAGAGCACTAAAAGTATCAGGTAACTTTGTTAGAATGCAGAATATAGAGCATATAAAGTGCGCATTCTGTTAAAGACGATAATATTACTATTAAATAGCAAATTTTGTTAGTAATAATATAAGTTTTATTTTATTTGATATGATGAAAAATGTGGAAAAATATAGACAGAAAGAAGCAGATCCTTCTTAGAAATACTGAGGAGCTATCGGCCCTTATCTTTCAATTGATTGAAGACAAGCTGCAAGTTTTTTTTTGTCCAATCGTCACCTATTTTCGCTTCTTCGAGAAGACGGAACCTATAGTTAAACGTAAGCGTTTCCTTATTTCTTCCATACCAGGTCATCATTCATCCTTTGCACAAAAACTTTAGCCATGAATACAAAACTTTGGACTTTTGTTTTATTGTGGCAACGTTTCGAATGTCCTATATCTTTCTATAGTCGTTCCTTAGCTTGCGATACACGACTTTCAAAACGTGATAATAAACCAAAAAAGGTCGAACGTTTTTTATTCACTGAAACATTATCTACCACCTTGAAACAAACAACTTTAGTATTGTTATCTCCATGCTGTTTCTATGGTGCCACCTTTGGAATGGGGAATGTACATTTTACACTCTTTCAGGACGTCTTTTCTGGAAACCGCGGAATAGCATTCTGATTAGAATGTTTGATCTGTGGTATGCGTGTATATTGACGAAAAGAAAGAACATGCATTCCCGTGAGAACGCTGCTCCCCTGTTACGGGAATAAGTACCCTTTGAACTGTTAGACCTAAGAATATATTCTCAGGCATGGACGGAAACAGAATGGCTATGATGGCAATGGCAATGACTATATTTGCCAAGATCGAGCACTCAACGCACTCGCTACGTTATAGGTAACTACAATTTTGAGTTTTTTAACTGCAGTAAACTCTCAGATGTTCACTAACAAAGCTAGTAAACACTGAAAATCCTAGCTCATTGGAGATCCATTCCGGGTCTGAGACAGGCAAAAAGATTCATATCCATCTCAGCGAAGAGATCTGAACATCTTTTTGACATGAAGAGGCATTAGAACAGTCGTCAGTATGCTGACTGGGCATTGCCTGGTAAAATATCACTTAAAAGCAATAGGCAAATCGGAAAAGACCACTGCAGATCTTGCGAAAAAGCAACAGAAACTACAGAACAATAGATGTCAGTAGTCTCCATTAAATTAGGAAAATCAAACAGAGGAATCTCTCTAACTCGTTGAGTCATCAACAATACTTTGAATGATCTAATTTACAGTGTCCTTTCTAATGAATTCATTAACACACAGTAAATTATAGCACAAACACACAGATAAAACTAGAAAAAATTGTAAAATTAACCTTGACTACACTAACATGCACTTCCAGACGAAAAAAAAAAATTAAAAAATTATTTTGCGATATCGGTGGTGAATTTCATGTTCTGCAAGATAAAGAATTCCTCTTTATTGCATCGATGGTGGGGTATATTGATAAATGATCTTCAGGTACTATATTTATCCACATTTCGCGAACTTAACATATTTATCAATATTAGGTTGAACGACTTTTCCTACCCAAAAAGTTTTTCGAAGCACATATGGCAGTACGGTTTGTCACTTTGCTCCTTGAAAGTTCCCTTATTGAGTTGTTTCAGGCAAAAGGCACAGACGAAATGCTCCGGATGAAATTTTCTGAACATCGCTGTAACGCAACGTCCTGATATGGGTTTGTGGCAGCCAGCACAGAGGGAGCCACGTTTCGCATGGTAATGTATTTCACATAAGGGTTGACCCTCGTGGTCGAAAAATGAACCTCCCATGAAGGGTTGATGGCATTCCTGGAAAAAATTACAATTAGTTTGAGGCAAATGTGTTCGAGTCATCCAATAATTTGTCACTTGAAATATATACAGGCTGTTTCACGAACATCGAAACAGAGGCGTTGTGGGGTATTTTAAGGTTGATTTAAAAAAAAAAAAAACGCTAGGACACGTCAATTTTGTATTCAAGGGGGAAACTTTTTGATCCCATCGGTATTTCGCTAGGGTGCACCCCCTGAAAGGGGTGACTGTCACCCCTCTTTTTTAGATAGGGAAGATGGGTCGAGTGGTACCCTGTTTCAAAGGTATTTTGATTCTCGTCACAACTGTGTACTTCTCTTGAAAATCGAATGATTAGTTCTCAAGATATTTACTGTCAAAGTTGCCATAGGGTAAATAAGAAACAATCTTCTAGCCTTGTTATTCTTAAATTAACACTTTCCTGACTTTCCTTTTAGACACGTCAATTTTAATTTTTTCCGAAGCGAAAGTGTTAATTTGGGAATAACAGGGCCAGAAGATTATTTCCTATTTAGCCCATGGCAACTTTGACAATGAATATCTTGAGAATTAATCATGCGATTTTCAAAAAAAAATACACAGATGTGACGAGAATCAAAATACCTTTAAAACAAGGTACCACTCGACCCATCTTCCCTATCTAAAAAAAAGGGGTGAAAGTCACCCCACCCAGGGGGTGCACCCAATGATCTCAGAAATAAATGGATGAACAATCGTACGGCTTGATTGGCGTGAAAGATCCTGTATATACAGTGTGCTTCACGAACATCGAAACAGAGGCGTTTTAGGGTATTTTAAGGTCCATTTAAAGAAAATGATCGGACACGTCATTTTTGTATTCAAGGGGGAAACTTTTTGACCTCATCGATATTTCGTTAGGGTGCTCCCCCTGGGTGGGGGGACTTTTGCCCCTCTTTTTAAGATAGGGAACATGGATCGAATGGTACCTTGCTTTGAAGGTATTTTGATTCTCGTCACAATTGTGTATTTTTTTTGAAAATCGAATGATTAGTTCTCAAGATATTCACTGTGAAAGTTGCCATGGGCTAAGTAAGAAATAATCTTCTGAATAACAGAAATTAACACTTTCCTGACTTTTCTCTCGGACACTTGAATTTTTATTTTTTGTGTGCTTCTGAAGTTATGAACATTGACGTGTCCAGGAGGAAAGTCAGGAAAGTGTTAATTTGAGAATCACAGGGCCAGTATTTTTTTTCTTATTTAGCCCATGGCAAGTTTGACAGTGAATACCTTGAGAAGTTCTCATTCGATTTTCAAAAAAAAAAACGCAGTTATGACGAGAATCAAAATACCTTTGAAACAAGGTACCACTCGATCCATCTTTCCTATCTAAAAAAGCAGTGGTGGAAGTCACCCCACCCAACGGGTGCACCCTAGCGACACAGATCACCTAATACAGATGCGTAAGTACGTATACTTGCCGTCGACGATATTCTGTGACGAAGCCGGGCTGCCAGCAACCCCAAGCATAGATAAAGATCGCCCGCTTCAAGATAATTAACGTGGCCGAGTGCGTGAGCATGTTCCAGCCTGTGTGTTTACATATTTTTGCGGGTAGAAAAAAATATTTTTTTGCTGTTTGTGAACCAATTAAAGAAATAATATTATATTATTGAGCGTCCGCATTTATATAATAAATATGTTCAAAATACATTGATGTGGCATTGGTGCGGCCAGCCTATGTCTATCAAATTAATCTTGAACCACGAATTCGCCGCTCTTTCGCATCTGTATGTAAGTAATCTGTGCTAGCGAAATACCGATGGGGTCAAAAAGTTTCCCCCTTAAATACAAAAATGACGTGTCCGAGCGTTTTTTTTTATCGACCTTGAATTACCCTGAAACGCCTCTGTTTCGATGTTCATGAAACACCCCGTAGGTATATGTATATGCGACAATACAGCAGAAGAGGCATATGATTTCTAATATCGTTGGATAGACTATATATAAGATCAAAAGCTTATGGTGTATACATTAGCTTCAATTGTTTTTATGTGAGTCTCTAGTGATCCAAAATAAGGAGGCTCCATATGCGGATCTTAAAAACTGTAAGGGATACGAGGTAGGTTCAATAAGGGAAAAGTTGCATAGGTATATGCTCGTTGAAATGCCGCTTTCTAATTTAAAAAACGTCATTTCCTTCCGAAGACCTCCAAAAAAACTCGATACTCGCAAAGCTTTTTTATACAGGGTGTCCCAGAATATGTGGGCAATCTCTCGGATTTAGATAGAACTCGAAAAAATAACATGACAACTTCCTATAAAAAAAAATTCCTACGGCCCCCCCTACGAAGTTACGTGCCCCTAAAGGACGCCTCTGAAAATCGGTTTTTCAAACAAACTTGACCAATCTGGTTTGCCAGGGACGGACTAGCTTTAACGCAATAATAAAACTGAGGAAATATTAGTAGAAAGGATTAATTTTCACTTTCGCGAAATAAGGCCTAATATTGAAGCATTGTCGAAAGTCGAACAATATTTTATTAAAATAGGTATGGAATGCATAAGATTAGAAGGATCTCATGTTGAGTCGACATAAAAAATTATTTAATAAAAAACCATTAATACACAAAAACAGAGTTTTCTCGAAACCAGCTCATTTTTTTGACATCGAATAAGAGTACCTTTTTTCTAGTTCAAGGTTGAAGCAATCTAAAAATATTATTGCTATGCCTATATCATACAGGGTGTAAAAAAAATTAGCATTATTGTGTTAAAGCTAGTCCGTCCCTGGCAAACTAGATTGGCCAAGTGTGTTTGGAAGGGTCCATTTTAAGAGGTCTTATCTAGTATCCATCATATTAAAAGAAAAAAAAATTACACAAAGTATTTTGAAAGTTATCAACATAAAACCGATTTTCAGAGGCGTCCTTTAGGGGCACGCAACTTCGTAGGGGGGGCAGTAGGATTTTTTTTTTATGGGAAGTTGTCATGTTATTTTTTTGTGTTCTATCTGAATCCGAGAGATTGCCCACATATTCTGGGACACCCTGTATATACGTTTGAAAAAATATTTTCAAATAAATGGCATCCGTGCCAATTTTCTAAGAGATGGCGTATTAAAATTGAAATCCGACTCTTTGGGCCTCGATCATAAAGAGTAGTTATTACTTAGTTAAATTACCTACTAAAAAAAATTATTCTAAATAAATCTAGACATCTAACGGCAGGAAATAAAAATGTCGTTATAACAGTTGACGCCTTGAATGCAAATGAATCAAAGAAATAAGCAAATTTCAATAGATCCTATATTGTAATAAATGACCCGTGTTACCAACAAGATTTGCGTTTGTATATGTCTTTTTTATTTGTTTATTTTTTCTTTACATATAGGGGCTATTGTTTTTTTATGTGTTTTTATATGTTTCTTTATCATATAAAAATGACAGTAAGGTACTTGGTCACAAAAAAGTCTGTCGTGCAGAAAACATTTTTTATTCTCATTTTTGTTTAATTATTTTTTGTTGAAATTTAATTATTCACGGGGGGCATAAAAGGTGACATTTCAAGCTTATTCGTCGTCTTCTTCATCAGCTCCAATACATTTGGGACATACTGGTTTTCCTTCCATGGCGTAGAATGATTTTCCTTGAACTGGTAGTTTGCAATCCTAATTCAAGTGTGAGATTATACCCAAATTTCAAGTTAAAAAAATACATCATAAATTAACTTGTCTTTCTACCTTAACTACTTCTCAATACTCACCTTGCAAACGAAACAGTCGGAATGCCATTGGCTGCCAAGAGCTGAAATGTAATTCTCCATAATGGCCCTGCTGCAACCTCCACATTTGGGGGCAAACATGTCGAAGTAGTCATCATGGCAATAGGGTTTGCCCTCACGTTCATGAAAACCATCTTCTCCAAACTGTTTACCACATTGGGCGCAGAAAAAGTGATCCACGTGCCAGGTTTTTTCCAACGCAGTAACGCATTTCTAGAATAAAATAGGTTTGAAAAGCGCACTAAAACCATCACCAGATCCATACATCCAAAATAGGTCCGTTACAATGAGCACATCTAGGGCTGAATAAGTTGTGGTAGTCAGTTTCACAATAGGGTTTGCCCTCCCTCTCGAAAAAGTTCCTGGTGCCCAATTCCTGCCTGCAGTGGGAGCAAGTAAAATGCTCTGGATGCCAGGTTCTACCCAAAGCGGTGATTACTTGACCTACAATGGGTTTGTCGCAGGCATTGCAGTTACCCTTTTGGCTGGTGTTGACTCCTTGACGGCTCATATCTGCCTGAAGATGGTCGAGCATAGAATTTAAATTGGCTGGTTGTTGGATCGGCGCTCCTTGTGATTGAGTGGCCTTAACGAGTCGAACGTTTTCTTCCCTTATGGGCTGTTGCGGGCCCTGCTGGAGCTAAGAAAATAAATCTTTAATTAATCCTCAACTAATAAAAAAAAAAATAGCGTAAAACGTTTTCATGATTTTGATAACTGACCCGTTGGACGCTGGTCTCAAAACTAACTTTCCGACTTAATATCTGCGGCAAGTAAAAGTACGGAACCTACGCGCCCTCCCCCCCTGTTTTATTAGGAAGACCGTGCCGAATTTAGACGCTCGTCCAGAAAAAAGGTGGAAAATCCGTTGCGACGCTTACCATGCGGCGATTATTGAAAAATAATTCACCGCTGGCTATTTGTGGAGCACTTCTTCGGATTTATTATATCACAACAGCGAAGTTATTCGGTTTATAATAATTTGTTTTGCGTTCAACCAATAATTTTCTTGAAAGCAGAAAAATCTTTGGAATAAAGTATGGATCATGAACGTTTAAGCCTACATGAAAATTACCTATAAAAATATGCATATTCTTGTCAAATGCATATTTTGGAAGATTGAGGTGGCACGTTTTTAGATAGGAAAGCTTACATATACCTATACGTTGTTTTTTCTATACCACCCGATATTATTAATTCAGCTTGCTCCATTCCAATAGACCCCTCTCTACGCTAATTTTTTAAGTGTTATATATCACCTTGCAGTTTATGCACTAAACTCCCGTTTGATTATTATGATATCCTCGCATATTTAATTTAAATGCTAGTAACAAATATAAAGTATTATATCATACATGGTGTTTCGAACTTACTTTCATGCTAGATAAACTGTCCATCAAATCATCAAGCTCTCTTGTAGCTGACGAAGCTGTAGTTTGCGCTGATATTAATTCAGTTTCCCCGGGAAATCCAGTTTCAGTTTTGGTTTCTTTTACGGTTATTATTACTTTTTTCGGACCAGTGTAGATGACATCACTTAAACACACAATAGAATATATTTATTATTGGCTTGGCATTATTTATATTCAAGTACTGTCGAACGGGATTGAGTGAATGGACAAGACTGAATTTTCTTCTTTTTTTCCAAAAGTATCGAATTTTTTTTCTAGCAAGAGAGCATTTTTTTATGAGAATGTGATTCACTCTCCTCACAAGTTTTGGGTGAAATGGTTCATGCAGTAAAACTGCGCACAGGTGATCTATTATAAATATCAGCGCCTACTAACTTTTTCATTTGACGTTTTTGACAAAAGTGTCAAATGCGAAACTTTTAAGGCCGACTTCTCATGAACGTAAACTTGACATAACTGGCGCAAATGCTGAATATGTGAATTTTGGCGCAACATTCACTTGGAATAGAGAATTTACGCCGCCGCTTATGTCAAAATTATATTTTTTTCCTAAATTTTGAAATATTTCTTTGAATTTTGATTGTACAAATTTGTATTTGTTTTTGCTTTGGTTCCAGATAGTTACAAATATGGACAGTAAATCACAAAAATCAAGAAAACAAAACGGTTGCAACCTTAACCTCTAAAAACGCTGAAGTTTTAGGCAAAAAGTTGAACTTTGCTCAACTTTTGGCGTATCTGCGGCAGAGTGTCAGCGTATCCAATATGGCGGAATTTTGGCCAATCAGAATTCTGCATTCAGGTACGCTGTCACGCCATAAATGTCAAATTATGCTCATCAGAAGCCGCCCTAAGAAATTGTCGAACTTTTTTAACTAAGTCAGTTTTAAGCAAACGGGGTGTGTCAAAAAAGTGTAGCAGTGCGAAGATATATTATTTTAAATGAAACACCCCGTATATTGTGAGCTTATTTGTTAGTCCCTTTCAACCTGATCTCAACGATATATGATTTGTTATGACTATCTTCAATAGTTATAGGGAAAAACATGAAAACCCCTCATGGGTTTCATGGGTCTCATGTTGAGGAAAGAAAAGTTATTCCATTTAAGCTTTAGAGAGAATTGTTTATTAACAGTTTATTGTTCAAATGTTATTTATTAATTTACAAGGTGAAATATTATAATAAATCCAAATGTATTAAGTTATTATTATAAGTTTTAAAAAAATAACATGAGACCTAGGAAGGGATTTTCGCGTTTTTTCCTATAACTATTGATGATAAACCGAGAGATAGAGATATCAAACCGTATACCGGGTGCTCTCGAGATCACTTTCCGGCTGCCATTTTTTCATTTGTTTATCGATATCAACGAAACTTGGTAGGGTTGATATTCTAACCAAACGCCATTTTTATGCATTTATGACAAATTTTTCTGACTTCCGGTTACGCCGGACATGACCGGAACTTTTGATTTTCAAATGGCACACCCTGAATATTTTTTGTTTTTCGGATTTTACAGATCGTTTTACATCCGGATGCACCACTTTTGAATCGAGTTTTGTCCATATTTTGTTTTTAAATTAAATTTTATTTTTTTCACTAGAGTGCCATGATCATTCTAAAATGACTCTACATACTTTACTTAATTTCAGAAAAATACAAACTCAATTTTATCTTCGTAAACTTTTTTGATAGAGGGCTGTAAACTTCATTATTTTAGTATTTTTGCCCTAGCTCAAAAACTAGAAAAGAAACATCACTTTCATAACATTACTAAATGCAGTATTTTAAAGCGAATCCAACGATATAATACACTACGACATTTTTCTTAATTTTCGTTCAAATATTTTTGTTTTATTATGTAGGTAATTTTTTTTTTTTCTACTTAAAATTTAATTTCAAAACGAATTTTGAACAAAACTCGATTTAAATATGGTACATTGAGTTGTAGAACGATCTGTAGAATCTAAAAAACAAAAAATATACAGGGTGTGCCATTTGAAAATCAAAAGTTTCGGTCATTTCCGGTGAAACCGGAAGTCAGGAAAACTTGTCATGATTGCATAAAAATGGCGTTTCGTTAGAATATCAAGCCTACCAAGTTTCGTTGATATCAATAAACAAATAAAAACATGGCAGCCGGAAAGTAATCTAGTGGGCACCCGGTATAGTTGAAATCAGGTTGAATGAGACTCATTCATAAACGCACAATATACATGGTCTTCCATTTAAAAAAATACAACTTTGCTCTGCTACATTTTTTTGACGCACCTGTTTGCAGTTTCAAGACTTAGCTTGAAACTTTAGACAATTTCTTGAAACTTTTGTATTTCACACTTCTGTCAAAAACGTCAAATGAAAAAGTAAGAGGGGGTGACATTCATGATAGATCACCCTGTACATACAAATTTAGTTTTAAATATTAATAAGCAGGGCAAATCGAGCCAATGCTTTCCCACATTTATAATCGGGTGATTTTTTCAAGGCATTGAAAAACCCTCATCATATATAGAAAACCTAGCGATGCAACATCGATATGAGAAAGGCAAAACCTCAAAACTAGAGACGACAGCTTCGTCATTTTCCCGGAAATACCCCAATGAATTATTTCTACTATGATTCACTTTAACCTGTTTGCCAGTATATTTCGAACAAACTGCCAGAAAACACGAGCCAATAATTAACATAATCTTCAATTTAAACCAAGAATGATAGTTTCATTACCCTTGATCAAGATGATCAAATTCATCCAGCACGTCCACGGGCTGGCGATTATGAATACTTTGTGAGCTGGAAGGTCGGTTGGGGGTATACTGCGCATCGGATGGTCTAGAGCTAGAATACCCAGCAGGACTCCTTCCCAAACGATTGGAACTTTCGTTGTATGCCGTGGCACCAACTGCGCCATTACCATTAGCACCATTTTCTAAAAATATGTAAATTCAAATATAAGTACATACCTAGGTATTGTTATTTATATTCAACAGTGCGTGTGGTGACAGTATAAATTTGTTCCTGTAGTATTTATATGAGAGAGCCGACGTCTACCGTCGGTCGTTGTCTCACAGCTCGATATTTTTAAAATGTCGTCTATAGACGTTGTGTCACATAACATCGATGAAAATTAGACGTTCTGTCCATCAACGTGTTAAAAAAACTTTGACACCCCACATCCTGAAGTTACGAACCGTGCTTAGGAAACATCCTGCATATTTTTCTATTTTCGTACCACCCTGTACATGCTATTTCAAATTTCAATAGTTTTATATTATTTTTCAAGAAGCAGAAACTTTTATGAACAATAACTTTTTTTCGTAAAATTGATAATAAAAAAGTTTCCCATGTGCTGCGCACTTTAAGTGGACACACTGTATATGGAAAACATGTAACAGGCATCAACTTTTTGCCTTGTCTTCTATGTTTTGTTTTTTAACGCAAACGTTATAAACTTTATTGTGAACAAGAATGAAACTGGTTTTTTCGCAAACAAAGGGTAGCAAATTACTGTTAGATATTATACGTATCTAAACTGAAAAATGTTGTACATCAAATTTACAGTAAATGGCATTCCATTCCCTCCTCGGCCCTCTTTGAGAATTGGAAAAATTTTCACTATATTTCCAGTATTCACTAGGAATATGTCATATATTTTTTTTAAATATCTTGCTAATTCATCATCTTTTACAATTTTTTTTTTGCATACCTACTCAACTAATACCCACTTCTCGATGTCACCAATTTGATCTAAAATGGAATCTTCAACATTGTCAAATTCTTGGTAAATTGACGAACCAGGTTTAGATTATGGTTCACTAAAAGAACTGGGGTACAAGTCTTTGTGAGCTGTTACCGATTCTCTGCAACCAACGGTTATTATTCTAATCTTTTCTAGATTTTCGACATGGCCTGTTCCTGGACCGAATATTTGTGGATGCATCAATTATCTTTTACCATTTACAAAGTCGAGAATATGCTCCTATTAGCCATCATAATTATTTACAAAGCATAGAAGATACTGTGCATAAAAGAAATTGATTTTGAAGTTACATGAACTCAATAGAGAGAAGAAAAATAAATAAAGTAGGTGACTTTGTATGGACGTATATATTTTCTAACTGAGTAGCAAAGCACTTTCGGCTGATAAGCCATCATCGGTACTACTGCTAACTAATATTATACAGGGTGTATCAGGTATGAGTGCAAATATTTTAACATGAGATAATATGGCCCATTTCAAGCCAAAACTGTTGTATTAACCATGGGTCAATTGTTAGTATTTTCGGAGTAATCGCAGAATTTAAATTTAGAAAAATGTTAACAACGTGACAACATCGTACAGGTATTATCTCTGCCAGGATATGAATGTAAATAAAACTGGGTAATTTAAAGTTTCTTTTTGCAAGGAGTTTATTTATTTTCATCTTTTTACGTTTTGGTTTGTCATTGGAATTAAGTTTCAAATAAGAAACTTTACTTTTTTAAAAACTTTATTTTAATTAACTAAAGTAGAAGTAGAGTAACATATGAAGACTGGTGGAACTAGTTGCTGCTGCAAAGCATGAAAGCAAAAGAACAATTGTGCATGGCTGCACCGCTTTTTATAAACAATAACAAGTTAGCAATATTCACTAAAAACGTCAAAAATTGTGATGTCATCGTGGGCGAGCAATAATTAGTATGCTTCTTAAAACAATAGATTGATTGACTAATTACCATTAGTTGATATGGAAATGGTTCAATATAACTTTGGCTTCCAAATAATGTAAATAATAACTTGCATTTTTATTACTTTTCTAGTAAAAATTAATAATGTGCCGTTTAATTGAGTTGTGAATTGCACTCGAGGTTTTTGCACTAAGCATTCAAGAGAAAAATTAAATAATACTTACTCAGCTACTTGCCAAATCCTCATTATGGAAATATTAATTTTTGTTAAAAGGTTCCCAAAACAATAAAATCAACAAGCAGATTTTGCACACTCGTACTTCCCGTATCACGCAATCTTTGTAAAACGGGCACAATGTTCTTTCATCGGGTGGGTGCTCTTGGGAAATCTTTCCCTGTAAATTCTGGCGGCTAAATGGGCATTTTGCAACGATTCTGCCTAAACAACTACGCGCGTTTCCAATGATTCAACTAGTGACATAAGACAAATCAAGTGTGTGTGTTGTGCTATGTTGCCAGGTGCATAGATACCGATTTACGAGTGAAATTTTCATGTTGTTATTTAAATTTTTTACCATTGTTGTTGACTAAAAATGCATAATTACTTAATAATTGAATGAACTAAATTTTTTTACATATGATAATGATTACAATTTTCTTTATCTTTCAAATATTCGTCAAAAAATGTCGAAGCTTCAAAATGGTTGAGTTTGGACCCCATGCAGTATAAACTTTTTTTGTTCAAACTGGGCCATATTTTCACGTGTTAAATTTTTTGTAGTCAAACCTGATACATCCTATATATAGAGTAGTAGTAGGTACTTGAAATCAAAGAAGATAGTTAAAGAATTACGAGTCATGAATAGGAGATTATCGTTAAAATTACTAACTACATAAGATTAACATCTAAATCAAAAAACCATATTGCAATGGTGAAAAACAATATTTGTAATGTACATGATAGAATTTGAGGAGATATGACTTCACAATATTAAAATGATGGGTCCGACCGATACGAAACAAACTAAACCTGCTGGTAATCAATGCCATGCGGTGTTTGTATTATTTTTTCATTTAATTGCGTGGGAAATTTGAAATTTATCCGCAGCAAGCTGGTGTGCTTACAAGAGTTAGGTTTATTGCTCCCTCAATTTGATAAATGGAAGAGTCAGTCGTGCTAATAGGTAATTTACTCTATTCAATCTAAGATGTAAGGGTAAGTAGGACCTATTCATTTTTACTTGGATATTCAAGCAAAGGCGATTAGATGATATTTCCTTATTAATGTCAACGTTCTCAAGAAAATCTGGTGTTTTTGTTTTTGCTGTCAACATTTGCTAGGAGTTTAGAATTCTTGTCTTTGTCAAATTGACGTTTTGAGAATTTAAGTTTGTCAGGGTTTTTGAGATATATTCTGGTCTTTGGGTTTATGCAAGCTCTTCCGACATAGGCAGTTCCACTTACCCTTACATCGTAGATTGAATAGCATGAATTCCTATAAGGACGACCTAACTCTTCCATTGATTAAATTGAGGCAGCAATTAACTTAACTTTTGTAAGCACACCGCTATAAAGGCTTTCTTGTTGTTAAGGATGAATTTTAAATATCCCACGTTGACCTACCTGGATTTATGAATTTAATAAAAAATGAATACAAATATCTCTTCGATAACCATCAGGTTTAGTTTGTTTCCAATCAATCAGTACCCTCATTTCAATATTGTGAAGTCTCTGAACATATTTGCTCAAATTCTATCATATACATTGCAAATATAGTTTTTTTACCATTTCAATGTGGTTTTTTAAACTAGATGGTAACTAGTGGAAAGTTTCAATTTCTATCTTAATATTGAGCTATAATTTCAATGAAATTATTACCTGACATTTTGGTGTTGACGAATCTACAGTTACTTAAATCCTCTAGAAGGTTATCCAAATCCTGTAGCCCGCTATTTTGCGGACGCCGTTTGTCTGTAGGCGTCCGGCGGGTTCCGTAATTGGAACCACTGTCGCTCGATGCACCGCTTGTGTAGCCACGCGTCGCGGATGCCGGTTGCGTTTTGCCATGGGTATCCTGAAACCAATTCAAAAGAACCTTGTCAGCGTGATGAACAACTGTTTAATTATCGTTTCTTAGGCAAAGCAAAAACAGTGACGAAGATTCAACACCCACTCACGGTATATTTATTTAGTGAGTTAAATTCAGAGTTTGATAGACGAAACCTTTTGATTGGCATTAGCAGCGAAGAAAATTTTGGAAAAATGAAATCTATAAAAATCAAGTGTTGAATGTTATATTGTTTGGATAAACAAAGATTTCCTTTTGATTGAAAAAATATTTCGAATCTAATAAATAAATTATTCTATAAATAAAAACAGACGCGGCCAATGGTAGATGCGTTGGCGGATTAGTATGATGTAATTTTTTACCTATTATGTGTCTATATTAGTGAAATAAAGAAATATTACCGCCAAGAGCAGTCACATTTTCTTAAAAGAGGAGATAATTTATTTCTAAGTACTCCGGTGAATTTAGACATGCAAGGGTACAAAAATTCGCATAGAAAATTGGTATGAATGTTCGGAACACCATTATAAATAAAAAATGCCAAAAAGTCTCCTTCGATCCAGTACCTGGAATTTTTTTTATTCAAGGTCAATGGCCTCCAATAATGGGTTTTTCGCGATTTTAAGCAAAATGGTGAGTTTTATCATTTCATAAAATTAGGTCAGGCAAAAATTGTAGATCATATCTATAAAAAATATCTCAATACTTTTTTTCCTTAGAGCCACCAATTCTAAAAGTTGAAAAAGTTGTAATCTTCATTATATGCACAAGTTTCCACGCCACCTGTGAAGTAGTGTAGGTTTTTGTTTTTCGTCATACTGTACTGTTATCTCACTATAACATGAGCGCAATTGAACCTGAAAAGGTATATTTAACGGCTGCCGGCCGTTATTTACCCGCCGGCCGGTTAAAATATAAATAACGGCCGCTCGCCGTTATAGTCAAACATACCAAGGGCGCCCACAGGGAGGGTCAGGGGGGGTCACTCGACCCCCCCTGGAAATCTCTTAAATTTTAATTATTTTCCTTGAATAAAAAATATTAAAATTTCTGATATTAGTTGAACCATGATTGCGGACCGACTGCGACTTTGCGACTTTATTTTTATTAAAATAGAAAACTTTAATGTTTATCGGAATAGGAAAACGGAGCCGAACGTACCCTAGCCACCAATGCCACCGCACTCAGCGCCGTAGCAACCATGGCGCCAGGTGGCGCCATGGCACCAGGGCCCACACCTTGGGGGGCCCACACCTTGGGGGGCCCACTAAAAGCAGGATAATCACTGACTTGAACTCAATTATTTTAATTTGATTGCATCATGTTAAAAATCTCAAAATCTGAAATGCAACGCCCAAACGGTGTTTTCTTGTCTTGCGATTCGTGCGACGCGTGCGGCTCGTTCGGCGCGGATCAGTGGGCGCCTACCTTTAGAGGTTAGCTGTCCGTTGACGGCAACGCTGTGCTGGCTGACCGTGATGACGTAGCTAAAAGTTTATTTAGTATAAACTTGGTAACTTCAAAGACTCGCGAACACTATTGTTTAATATTTTTATTCTGCTGTTATGAATTGGTGATAGAGTTTCTTTCCGATGAGTAGTTTAAATAAGAAGCACCAATCTGGTGCAGCAAAAAGAAAGAAGAAAGCCCAATTACGCACTAGCTGACGTCACACACATAACCTCTCAATGACATTTTTGTCCCCCTATCGAAAGTGACGTTATATGATTTTTGACTGATTTTTGACGTAATAGACTAGCGTCTGCGTGTAGAAATAACGTTCAATAGTTATTTATGCACCTAGGTCAAAAAGTACAGCTTTAACGCCCGCAGCGTGTGTAACACGCTGAGGGCGTTAAAGCTCTTTTTGACCGAGGTGCATACAAGATTTTATGTACGATGAGCATGTTTTCATTTTGATATTTAAAAAATTATATATTTTTAATTATGAAATGACATCAATCAAAAATATTTCAAAATATAAATTTTCATCTTTAACGCAATAGGTCGTAAGTTTTTGTCAAATTTAGATCAAGAAAGCAGTTGTTGACAAAAGTGTCACGTAACTATTATAGCAACCCAGAACAATACAAACAAATAATTAATTTACTCTGTGTAGTTTATAGCATTTTTATGATGTGTTGTCCGGCGTCTGAAAATGGGACAAAATAGCCTCCCCAAGTTTATTCTTGAGGCAGTTGAAGAGGCCAAGGAAGATCTATTAGGTCCAAAAGACTCTATGAAAAAAACATATAAGGACTTTATTTCCTGGTGTGCTCCACATGGTGTTAATGAGCAGCAGTACTTTGTAGAAGCAACTCTCTTCATTGATGAAAAATGCAAAAAAATAAGCCATCCGCCCTATGGAGTTGTTACTCAATGTTGAAAACAACAGTTCTTTTGTGTTTTTCTGTGGAAAAAGGTCGATTATAAAAGTTGAAAACTGTAAAAATTTTATTTTTAATTTTAAAGTAGATTGAATTTTATTATTATTGCTTATTTCATTATTCTTATTAATTGAAATAAAGCTTGTTTTTGTTAGAAAGATTTTTTTTTTTTTTTTTTTTTTTTTTTTTTTTTTTTTTTTTTTTTTTTTTTTGCCCTCGGAGTAGTTGTTTCTGACTGGTCAACGAAGTTCAAAGCTTGTTTTGTTGAACAAAGTTGGTATTTTTTGGACTAAGCAATAGAAATGCAAACAGTTTAAAAAAAAACTACGTTGAATTTTTGGTTATATTTGAAATTTTAGAAGTTTCAGGCCCGCGGGCATAAAAGGCGCCCTAGGGCGTAAAAGTTTCACTTTAGTTTCATAGCAGAATGGCGCGTTCCTACTCCTTATGTCCGTAGGACAGCGCTTTACCTGCTCTAAGAAATTTTCCAAATGAAAATTTGGCTTGTTTTTCTCGTGAAATAGTCGCCTGACGGCTCGTGGTTTTGTCAAAAATGTCATTCGCGAAATTGCCAAGCAACAAACTTTCATACCAGTCGAAAATTTTGCCAACAAAATTTTTTCTCTTGTGGTATTATGTATGAATAAATTTTTAACTTTGGATTTTTCGTAATTTTGTTTATACCCACCCGAAAAACCTAAATTATCTAGAAAAATTACTAGGGGGGGGGCCTCTAACAAAAGTGGCACCAGGGCCCATCCACGCCTTGCTACGGCGCTGACCGCACTATACCGGGTGACAACGAAATCGTTATACGAGGCGTCATTCAGTTGTCTTCAAAGTTAAGAATTTGAACATTGGGTGGAACGGGTAAGTCATTGAGACGCACATTTTTCGTAAAAAAACAATTAAATATCACTTCCGGTTACTCCGGAAATGGACCGGTCAAGAAATTTTTATGAAACCCTGTATATTTTTTCGCACAGTTGGATAAAGCTTAAAATTCCCTTTCCAATGACATATCACAACTTGCATTTGTTTCCAAGATGGCGGCGTAAAAAGGTATTTTTCTTAAATTCAATATGGCGGCATTCTGGCGTAACCAATGAACTATAACCAAAAACTGGAATGCGCACACATATTGATGAACGTGAAGCCTAGTGCCGCTGCTGCGGAGGGGATACCTGTTTTTGTCGCACTCATTATGTTAAATGGCGTAAATTGCTTCCAACACGTATTCCAATTGATGAAACCTGTGAAGGTAAATATGACAAAACTTTCCAAAACGTCATATGTCAGCGAGCAACAGAAAAAAAAACATTCCCCTTTGTGGCATCTGTCTTTCATGGCTTCATTTTTTTGGCAGATATGGCACTGTGTGCGCATTCCAGTTTTTAGCTCTAGTTCATTGCTTTTAACAATCCCTAATTTTTAGATTTGAAATGGCTTTAGATCGAATTTGAAAAAAAAAAAAAAAATGATTTTGCTCAAAAACAAGGGCATTTCAAAATTTCTTTGAAATGCAAATTTTAGTTTCAAATTGTCTAAAAATTTTGAATAGGAAGAGGTACTTATTAAATTCTAGAATTAAAGTGTGCCCAATGGCCTACCGAAAAATGTCTACCAAAATGCATATTCATTTATCGGTTAGGTATTCAAAGGTTAGGTCAGAATGCCGCCATATTGAATTTAAGAAAGGGCCTTCTCACGCCGCCATCTTAAAAACAAATTCCACTTATCATATGTCATTGAAAAAGGAATTTTAAGCTCTATCCAACTGTGTAAAAAAATATACAGGGTTCCATAAAAATTTCTTGACTTGGGTCCATTTCCAAAGTAACCGGAAGTGATTTTCAATTGTTTTTTTATGAAAAGTGTGCGTCTCAATGACTTACCCGTTCCACCCGATTTTCAAATATAAGTCAAAAAAACGACATTTTCAAACTTTTAAAAGTCAGAAAAGCCAACTTTACATGTATGATTGTAAATAAAAATTCTATCATGATCTCGAATACGTATTAGGGAAATTGCTTTTTTGGTTCCCCCTCCAATACTCCAATACGTACCTATTTGAGATCTTCCTGATAGTATTTTTTATCTAAGAGATATTGCCGATTGCTGCTTTTGAAATTGTCACCCTGATGTATACCTAAGTATCGCCGAATTGGTGATTTTTTAGACAGGTACTTAGAAAGAATGTTTTAAGTTTTTTTAAATAAATATTTATTTATGATGATTTTTTTAGACTGAAGTGACCTTTTTTACCCATAAAAAATGTATGCAATTGATTTTGACCCCCCCTATATATTTTTCTGCGGGCGCCCCTGAAACATACCCCCATATCGTCGTTAATTTCACAAAGTGACGTATCTCAAAAAAACCCTGATTTGAGATACGTCACTTTGTGAAATTAACGACGAGATGAGAGTGCAGTCTGCAGTATGACGAAAAATTTAGAACGAAACACGGCCGATAACTGCAAATAACATATTTCTCAGGTTCATAATCGTCTTATATTTCTGCCTGCTCTTCTTCTTGTTTATGTTCTTCTTCTACTTATTTTCTTGCTGGGTGCAAGTAAATTGCCTCAATAGCGATGCATCACATGCCTCCTCGTTG